GTGAAGTTCAGGAAAAATTAAATTAGGTTTTCAAACAAATGCCAGGCTGCCCAGCATTTTTTTTTTAAAAAAAAACCAGCAATCTCTATGCCAAGTAAACTGAAATATGTTAAAATGCAAATGTTGCTGCGTTTCAACAAGGAAATTCAATCGCTGAATGCAAACTTTGTTTCCACAAACTGAAATGTTGAAAACATCCAGGTTTCAAACTGAGAAATAGGATCATATATACATAGTGTTTATTTAATCAGCAGCTTTGACATTTTTACATTAATTCTTTTCTCCAGATAATGTATATTCCCCCACTGAAATATGCCCAATTTACACACAGTGTACCCACACTCAGACACACTTGCAGTAGAGCTGACAGATTTAGTTCCAGATGTGACTGTATATGTATATACATATGTGCCATATAGTAAATATTGATTTTTTTTCTTTTTCATTACTAATGCCTCAAAATTGTTTGCGTATACTTTTTTGAGAATTGACATCTAGAGACATGGCAGTATATGCTCTTTATTATGAGGGCAGGACAAGGTTCAGTAATCAAATTCCTGAATGGAAATATTGTCATTTTCAGTGCAGTAGACTCATGGTCAACAAATAATCAAGTGGTGCCTCACACTAATAGAATAGATCATGTGGTTTTTGTGTAAGTATTTTGATGATTTGTTAATGGCATCAAAAACTAGAAGAGAGTAGAGAAGAAAAGGATGTACTCTGTCCTTACAGTGAGTGGGTGTCTGAAGGGGCAAATCCTCTACTGGACAAGGAGAATAATGCCTTTCCAAGTAGGTTTTAGGAAACAGTTTTTCCTTGCAAAAACTACTGTTCCTCATACAGTGCTGAGAAAATAGATTGAGTAGTTGGGAGATTAGTGACCTTAGGCAAATCAACACTGCATATGACAAGCCATTTAAACTTCAGGCCTTGGAGAAGCTGTCTGAAGACTGGCATCATGAGCCAGCAGTAGGCTGGCACTCTTTTTTTTTGCTCATCAGGATAATGGTCCCTCCCCTTGGCAAGTGAAAACTTGCTCCATGAGACCCTGCATCCCTGTGTCAGTTGGAGAGCAGCCCAGGAAAGCATGGCGCTGCTAGCCAGCCAGCGTGACGCTGTGGACGTATCAAGAGCAAGAACATCTTTCTTCAGCCTGGTCAGGAGGGTGTTAGCGCAACACTAAGTCTAAGTTCACAGGGAGCCCCGCCAAGCACCTTCTGGCTCTGTACTAGAGGAATGGTACACAGGAGCCAAAACAGGGAAACCCTGAGGAAGGGCTGCAGCCAAAACTGTAGAAATCAAATCTAGGTCTGAATAGAGCACTTCGCTGACCAAATCTGGATTGTCACCAATTGCTTCTATTTAATGAGACCGCGTGGAAAGCAGGACCTTACATTATAAACTTCCGAAAGGGGGAGCAGAGTGTCTCGGTCGGTGATTAACCAGCTAGGATAATCAGTGCGTGTGAGACACTTTGGGGGATAGCTGTGACTCAGTTTGTGGAAAGAACGAGGTGTCATTTCATTTTTTTAGAGATGTAAGTTTGTAACTAATTTTTGTCTCTCCTTGCCAGCATAACGGTTTGAATGTTAATTTAATTTTGCAGAATATCATTTATGTAAATGTAATTAGAAGGGAAACATGATCGGGAGATGCACAGCACCAAAGAAAATTTATTACTCCGAGGGGTATTGCTCTAATCATTCAACTGCAATATTGAGTTTCCCCAGATTTAATCTAAAAGCAATAAATTACAAAAGGCTAATGTCCTGCCCAACAAAAAGCTGTCATGAACCCAAGTTTCTGTGGGGAAAAAATTCAACTTCATTTCAGCAACAGGCTCTCCTCGTTTACACATTCCTTTTATGATTCCAGTCAAGTCAAAGTAAAATGAATACAAATGTGAGAGTTTGAACACTTTCCCTGAATATGTATGTGTGTCTGTTGGTGATTGTAATAATCAGCAATCCAAGGCGCTGGGTCTCTTATCTTGGGCAGAATTAGGAATGCAGTCCTGCAAAGATACAACTGCAAATTCTTCTCCCCACCTTCACCATGACCCTGTGATTTAAGGGAAGGCAAACTTGAGTCTGATTAATTCCAGTGTCCGTATGAAAGTCTGCTGTTAACATGACGTCATTTTTTGTTCTGCTGACAAAATGAATAAGAAACAAGCTGTCCTTTTGCCTGTGTTAGTGATTGTAACCTATGTACTCCATGGGAAGCACTGTCTGTGCAGGGAAGTTGCCCTGTTGACACTGCGGGTCTGCATTTACTGAAGGGGAACTTTTGGAAATTGGAATGAGAAACAAACAGATAATCAAATAATATTGTGTGGCTACTTCTCAGAGGCCTTGAATAGCAGTTCTGCTACGCAAGGAACATCTCTCCACTTCATAAAACCTGCAATGAAAATTTGTTAGAGAACAAACAAAAGCTAGGCAAAATAAGAAATGGTAAATGCCTGCCTAATGTGTAGGCTAAAACACTGTTAAGTGTTGGGGTTTTGTGGTGCGATTTAGTATGAATGCTGATGCCAACATTACACTTCTCTAAGAAGCGGAGTAATTAGTACAGGAAATAGGTTTCTTATGTTTTATTTAGCCAAATTCATCTCTGGTTTAACTCCGCTGTAGCCTGTATTACATTTGTTCTTATTTCCCAGTGTTCCTCTGCACAGTTCTTTATACCATGACCTTTAGTTCACTGTGGTTGTCTTTTATTTTAGGTAGGGGCCATAGTTCCTCTCTCAATTTGTTAGTATCAATTATGTTGTAAGCCTGGGTTTCTTGGCTCACAAAATGAAACCCATCAGATCTGCAACAAGTTTTTACAAAGTGCACGTTGGCAGGTTTACAGATTCCCACGGCTGTACATGGGACACGGGGAGAAGCACAGGGCTGCAGCCTCAAAGGCACAGGAGAAACAGAACTATGAGGGGACCGGGGGAAAATGTGAGGAACAAAGAGAACCATTGTTGTTAGAAGCAGGAGAGGAAGGCCTCAGCATATGAATTACTCGTGTCCTTGTGGAAGAAAGAGAAGTCTTAGGAGGATGGCTGCAAGCAGTAACTAGCAGATTGGAGAATGAGAGAAAATGATTGGGCTTGTTGGGAGTTACAAACAAGCAGGTGAGGCTCAGGACCTGCTGCTGACCAACAAAGGAAAGCCAATTATGAAAACTGTTGAATTCAAATCAGTATCTTCCTTTTCATCCCAAACAAGCTCTGGAGATAAGCTCCAAGGGTTCTTTGGGAGTTACTTTGGCCGAGAGAGAGGATATGTGTGCACAGGTCTGCGCTGGGATTCCATGCTGGGATGGCACTGACAAGACAGCTGCCTCTTCCTCCTCCTCATCCTCTTGCCTCTTGTATGTGTTGCAGAGGTGGGTTCCTGCACTGGGAACTATTCTTATAGGGCTGCTTCCATGTGGCAGGAACCCCAACTTCTGTTTCATTTCAGCCAACCCAAAATTAAACTGAAAGGAGGAAAAGATGATGGAATAGATTCATAACAAGATACATCCTGCATCAGCTATTGGTCTGTAGGGCACTGGTTTAAACCTGTTATAGTTGTAATTCTCCACCCACAGGTGTTTACCTCCCTAAATGTGTGCAGCAGAACATTGGACAAACTGCTGTGGGTACACTTACTTAACAGTGAACATCCACAGTACTAATCATCTCATCCTTGACTGTGTGCAAGTACAGCACAGATCATGACAACCTGAACAGTAAGCTGCAGGCCTCTACTGTGTGATTACATAGAGGATCTTTCACAGCCGGGGCTACTTTTATGGCTTTTTTGCCAGCCAATCAGCAGAGAATGACAAAACCACAGAGCAAGAGCAGGAAAGGTCTTACCTTAGTGATCTACAGTGTACACAGATTGCAAAATGTAGTGCTAAGAGACCTGAGATGTATTTTTCATTTCACAAGATGCAATTACTGTAGTTGTGAAAGAGCATTTGAGATCATTTTTTCTTTGTTTTTGCATAATGCAGGAAGGGGAATCCTGCATCATGGAAAATGTTTTCTGGCCCAAATGAAGACTACTGTTCTAAAATTCCTTCAGATGCATACATGGAGATTTTATTAGTCAATGAAGTCTTCCAAGATCTTCACCATTTATTACAGTTCCTGTGCTTTTCATTCCAGTGAGATTTATAATTATAAAGTGGTAATTAAAGAGGCCCCACTCTGTAATTCCATAGGAATTCCACTGTGATCTGACATTAATTAACAACCAATTATAAATTATGATATAACTTTTAAAAACCCACCAGTGTCTGGATGCCTTCTTTCAGTTACAATGAAATGCTAGAAGGAATTTCACTTTTCTAAGCTGGAGCCTTGTTGCAGACTGATAGGTACTACCATACACTTATGTGTGTGTTTCCACAATGCAGCAACTACAAGGGTGGGCAGGTTTGACCTACGAAGGTTTTGAAAAACCTTTTATCCTCATCTTTCGTGTAAGAGGCATCTGTCTCACAGAATTTCAACCTTATGTCATGTCAACAAGTGTGCACACGTTAATGCTTAGATTTTATCTGACTTGTTATATAAATTAGAGTGATATGATGCATTGCTCGTATGCCTGATGTGAGCTCTCTGTGGCCTGAAAATGTATTTTAAATAATTATAGCCAATTAGGAAAAAGAGAAAAACAGTAACTGACTCCAGTGAGAATGTCTGTGGAATAGAGAAGATGTGATAGCGGGTTAAGGAAATAAACTTTCAAAATTCTGGCATTATTTGGCCACCTGCAGTAAAGATCTGATATCTAATGGAATTTGTATGTCCCCAAAATCTGACAGGTAGAATGCTACCTAGAGATATATGGGTAATAAAACACCTGGTACATGTGGATAATCAACACTTAACATCTCTCTTTCCCTTTTTCTTCTTTATTTCTTTTACTTCTTTTTTTTTACCTTTTTCTGTGTGTGTGAACTCAAGTTGGTAATCATTAAGCTTGTCAGAAAGATGGAGGAAGTGGGATAATACCAAATTCCATTACATGTAAAACCACGTAGAAAACAAGAGACATAAAAGGAGACAACAGATTCTTTTTGCATGGATGAAATCATGAGGTAAGTTTTCAAAGCCTTGCCCCACAGATTAATTTCCACCATCTCCATTAAGCCTAATGAAAATCACGTGTGTGTTTCTCAGTATTTCTTAGCATGGCCCTCCCTTGCCTCTTTGCAGCTTCTCCCTGGGACCTTCCACAACTCCTTTGATCAAACCTCCAAGACCTCTCCCATGAATTGCAGCTTCTGATCTGTTCAAAGTTAGTATGGGTAATGGAATGAAGAGAAGTGTGGCCCCTTTAGGCATCTCCACAGCCAGCTTTCATTATAAAACAGCACTGGTCTGAGCACAGAGTTGCTCAGGAAAGTGGTAGTGTGGCTTATTTAGCACCCAACTTTTGTTGGCTCTGGAGTCCTTGCTTTTTCTCAGGATTGGTGTGGTTGCATGGATGTGCATCATTTATTATTCCATTGTATTTTTTTGACATTTTACAATAGGGAAAATCCTCTTATTTAAACTCCGACACATCCAACAGTCTTGACCAAGTCCTGCCTGTTTATTTCTCCCTTGTTAATGTACCTGTTCTCCTATAAAATAGATAAGATTTCAGCTGGGAAATTCCCATAAAAATCTCATCCTGTTTGTTCTGTTGTATCTAACGTTATCAGGGCATCTCTGAATAGCTTTGCCAGTTAGACAGAAATATGTCACTGACAGCAAGGAACAAAATGCAGCTTTGATGTAGGGAAATGGTAAATCAGCCTACTTGTATTGGACCCAGAGAGTATACATGAGCTAAACTTGCTGCTTTTACTTGTAACTATCCCTAGAAGGGATTAAGTTTTTAAGATCTGGCTACATGCATTTCAGATATTAATATGTTCTTTTGGTTCTGTGCCTGAATAAGATTTAGAGGAATTTGGAGAGCAGCTGAATGCTAAAGCTTTAGGAGATCCAGCGTCAAAGCAGGGCACAGAGTAACCAACATCCTGTCAGCAAATCCTAATGTTCTATATTTAACCTACTATTAAAATTATATTTTGGTTTTTTTTGTCTACCTTCAATTCCAAAGTTTGTTTTTCTGTAAGATTGTAGAACAAGGCAAACTCAGTTAAAACTGTAACATTTATCTCACTGCTTTCTTTTTAGCTCACTGTTGATCTGATGGCAGCTGAAAGGGCAAATGAGAAAGGTAGGTATTATGTTTCAAGGGGAGAGTTATAAAAGTCTAAACTGCATCCAAAGTATATTTTACTCCTAATAATGAGAACTGGATGAACAGCATTTAAAAAAATATGAACCTGCCCCAACTACATTGGTTCAGAACTAACTGATCTAATGCAGTTTTCCAAAGAATAATTGATATTATATAATCATAACTGGCAGTTTATGTCATGAAAGTGACACTTGACACTTTCCTGCTAACCAGTATAACATCATCAATTAAAACATCACTTGTGTAATGACATTTTAGTAACCAGTTTAATATCATAAATTATGACATCACCGTCTTTTATGGCATCAGGTTTGAATAAAAGGTTTTCTTTAGAAGAGAGAAAAAGGTTTGTTTTTTTTAAAAAAAAAGGAGGAAACCTTAACATTGTCCCCCATTTTGTCCTTATAAAAGGTACATATGTTCTAGCCCTCTAGTCACTGTCCTCATTAGGAAGGATCTACAAGCTGAAAAGTGACAAACAAGGGTGACATAAACAGTTGAAAAGAATATGCTTTGGGTTAGCACAGACAACCTCCCAGTAGACACTAGTGTCCTTTGCATAACACCAATGGAAATCATCCAGAAATGGAGAAGAAAGTATGGGCATGCTCATGGAACCTGATGAACTCAATTATAGTGCAGTAATATTTACTGAGATGTGGTGTGAAAGTTCAAGATTGCGTCATTACCTACCAGTGGGTGTTCTTTTTCTGCATGGTCAGTGGCTTTGAAGTAATTCTTTATATCTTATTCTTCACTGAATGGTCAAATTTGGGTGCCAGCGTCTGGTATTTTACATCTCAGACTCTTGTGAGCACTGGATTTTATGACTGCTGGTGATTTGAGTACTGAGTTGGCAAATGGCTCCATTTATTTGTATCTATTTAGTGTCATGGAACCAGACAGGAGCCAGACATGAATTGAGTTCAGAGGATTCTCAATTAAACAAAGGTCTCTATGAATGTGTCCTTGTAGGATTAACTGCAAGGAGTCAAATATTTTAAGTATATTGTGTGTTTTCAGAGCTGGCTTTCTAAAGGCACATAGCATCAGCTTCCCTCTCTTCCTGCCAGGGTCAATAGAAGTGTTACCAGTGACCACAGCCACAAGCAGAACAAGTCATAATCAAGCATTTTCAAAATTCTTCCTCCCATTTTTTTTCTCTTGAAACTGAATCATTACCATATAAAGTTGTGCTGAACTCCACTGGGACTCTACGCTGAGATAATGTCCAGTGTATCTTCTATTGCTTGTGCAGAAACTTAACCTTGTACATGCAGATGATCATGTGCTTCTATGGTTTACCTTCATAGTAGGTTCTGGGTTTGCAAAGTGGGAAAAGAATCCTAGATAGGAAGTCAAATTCACATTGTAAAAACTGAACAACTGTTGTATATTGACTGAGGTATAAGCACTTCCCTGAGTAATCCAGAATAATTTCTCTTGCTAATTCCCAGACTGTGAATCAATGATATGACAAATGGGTGCCTCATGGCATCTGAGCAACTGTTCTGCCCTTGATCAAGTATCCACTGCTCAAGAGATGTCCAAATACTGACAAGAAGATGGTAAGTCGGTAAGTATGATAACACTTATTAAATTACAGACAAAATTTTAAGCAAATCCATGTAAATTGTCAGTGCATATCTTAGTGGTCTCCCGAGGATGCCATGATTTACCTACTCTCTTTTCTCAACATTTTTTCAAAAGTTTTTTTCCCCCATGAATATTTATGTCGATGCCTCATTTGCTGACTGAATTTCTACTCTACTGGAATTATGCTTCCCCATAGTGCATCCAGGAAAGGTGAGCCGTTAGAGGTGAGAAAAAGAGATTCCATGACCTTTAGGAAATAGCAAGTGGCACTAGATAAAACCTATTCAGTGAGGGGTTACTTATGGATTGGTTGGACATAATTACCAAAAAATTATTATCTCTCTGAAACAATTAACTTCAGGTAGATCAGAGTCCAAATCTCCAGAAGCTCTGAACTTTCGCAAATTGGCTTTGCCCATTGCCACTCATAGGCAATGAGTAACTTTTAAAATAGACATGAGTGATAGATACCACATATTTCTAGTTATGAATATGGACTTATTTACAGCTGGCACTTTTTTTAAAGTGAGTTGTAAATGTTAAGGTGCTAGATTCAATGCTTATGAATGTGTTTCCTTGGTGATAAAGCTTTCACTAAGTATGTTATCTGTGCTATCTTATATGCAGACAAGAGATGATTCACACTGTATGTTATAGGTCTTGTGCTTTAAAATTGAATCCTCTATTGACTTATAGCTGAGAAACATAGAAATCTAATCCACAGCTGGTTCTTCTTAAAAGTGAAGTTTTGGCAAAAGCAATGAAGGCTTTAATGCATTACAAAAGTGTACATTTTTAAAAGTTGTTTCACTTCCTATTTTCTCTCTACAAAACTCCCTGAAGTTAGAAGTGCTCTTGTGTTTCATCTTGCAGTTTCAGCAGAACATAGCTTTGATTTTGCATGCCCCGCTACTGCCTGTTAAATGCAAAGAAGATGTTAGTTCATGGGGGTACACAGATTAAATAAACAAATACATAGAATGAAATCTTTCTGGCGCAAAGAAGCAATTTATCTAATGATGAAGCAGTTGCAGTTGGAAATCTCTTCAGTGGAGAAATAGAAATGCCTTTAAAAAAGGTGAGGTGGGACAGAAAGACTGAGCAAAACCCTCCTTGCACTGACAAATAATGACACTTGCGTTACAGTGAAAAGTGCTGGCACAGTTGAGATCAATGGGAGTTTTACCTTTCTTTCTACTTAACCTTCCTTTGTAAGTAAAGTCAGGGAGACTTGGCCCATTGGATGTCTGTGAACAGTTACCTAATGCATCTCTGCTTTACTCTGGCCTGCTATAAAAGGATGCTCTTGGTTTTCATCAGCTCCAGCACTCAGGAGCTTAGAGGGGTCATAACACAGAAGAACAGGTAGATGCAAAAGATGCGAAGTGAAAGAAGGCCTGCTGCCAGCGCTGCTCTCAAAAAGCTGTCATCCCAGCGCACATTACACATTAGGGTTTGAGAACTATAAATGGCATAGGGTTATGTGCATTAATTGCATCATAAAGTAGAGGGGCCCCGAAGGAGGTCTGGTCTCAGCTGTGCTATGACTGGGACAAACAGTTAATGAGAGATCTTACAATCTCATTAGGCAGGACAGAAGTAGAGAGTATTAATCTCCCATTCTCTGTGTTTCAGACTTGAGTTTAAATGTGCCCATCATTTACACAAACATCCTGTGGAGTAGAGGGAAAGGGACCTGGCTTTTTCTGAATACTATTCCAGTTTCAGGGATTGGCTTTTCTTTCCTTTCTGTTTACACCAGCATGAGCTCTGGAACCCCCTATATTGTGCTTAAGTCATCAAAGATGTTCAGATTTGCTTTTTGCTTCTGATTTCAACTTTTGTTTGTATGGTTTATGTTTTTGACAGCTGTGGTATCATACAGTAAACTATGAACTGTTCTATTCCAAATGATCTTCTCTTAAGTTTTTAAATAACTAACTACTGTCTTTGCATATGCAAAACTATCCTACACATATTTTGAGAATGTTATTTTGGAGACTTCAGATACAGTAAAGGTAAATCAAGAACCAGGTCAAGTGGCATTGCATTTCTGAAGCATGGTGGCCAGACTTTCTGACCCTGCAAGTTTTAAAACCTCTTGTTGGACATTTAGAAGAAATGAGCCAGATGTTGGCCCCCTTTGTTACCCATTTAGCAAGCTGTAGCCCGGGCTGTAGCAACCTGGTGGAAAAATGGGTTTCCTGGTATGTGGTAATACCCTCACACAGGTCTGAGCTCTGCTATTGGAACTGGTACAGGCTTTCTGGCATCCCTAGATAAACTCTTGTGTCATTTACAAAAACTGTCAAGGGCTGGCATTGGCTTTGGAGAAACCTTAGAGATGGAACATGGGACTACCACACCATGGGCCAGCTTTGTAGAGACTACCAAGGTTACAGGCTGTAGGAATGGCTTTATGTTCTCTTTACCTCATGGGCGAGTTGTGTAGGACTGATCTGGAGAAATCTATTCATTGTTGGGTGGACATGAATATAAATGTAAGGATCTTTCATGGCAGCCTTCAAGTGGACTAACACCCTGCAGATGGCTCTGATTACACGCCAGAAGAAAGAAAGAAAGTGCAGTGCCTCCTAAAGTCCATATGGCTGCTTTTTGATTTGCTGCTATTGTTTATTTGGCTTTGGAACAGTTTTTGCTGGGGCTGTTGCCTAGATCCTGATTTTGGCACTGTTTTGTCTTTTCTTGTACTATTTTGTCCCAGTTTGTGTTTGGAAATGCCCAGAAGTGGAAGAGTCGCCACTTTGTCAATAGTGCAGGGGGCAAAGGATTTGTTTCCTTCACTCTTGGATGGCCTTGAAAATCCCCTTAGTTACTATTATCATTAGATTCTCACTCATATCATCCACTGTCTATTCTGCCTAAATATACTACCTCCAAACATAACAGTTCTGAAAAAATGTGCCCATTATTTTTCTTTCCAAATCAAGTCCAACAAAAAATGAACTAGCAGTATAGTTCCACTATAGTAACTGCTGATTTTGCCCCTTAATTCGAAAAAAGATTAAAAAGGAATAGCAATTAGCAATTACTCAGGAGCAATTATTCCTTTCAGTGACTCTTCCAGGATGCATAAACTCTCTGTCACTCTCACAGCTTTTCTCAGCTATGCAGCTGCCTGTCAACAAATACATGGTAAAATTCCTATCATTACCCATTCCTTACACTCAGAGTGTGTTAGGCCAAGATCCACAAATGTGATTTGCTTGCCTAGATTTCACCCATTCCACAAAGAAGTTTTCAATTTAATCGGAAACAACACAAAGCAAACAAGCTGTTCTTTAACCTAGGTAACTCCTCTAGAACAACTCCTTTGGAAAATGTCTGCATCAGGACAATCAAATATAAGGGGATTTGGAAAAATTTTGTTTCACCTAAACTTTGGCTGTATAACACATTTCCTAGAGAGCAGTTTCCTTTGTGAAAACTGAAAGTGGAGTGAGATGAAAATTAGTATTTCTCCTACCCCATCCTTGTCCTAAGTATATTACTGAATAACACTACTAATAGAAGAAAGTCATTTTGTAGGTTCCTGAAAGTTGTTCAGGATGGACCCTTGTGTGAGCACAGCAATTAGTTTGAAGAAGGCAGGTCCCATGTCTTTTTGCTTTGTTACATTTAAGGAAGTACAGGAACTAAAAAATACATTGTCAGTATTTACTGTCAATTTTGTCAATATGGTCATATTTCTTCTTAATTACAAAACCCACACATTTTTCAGGTAATAAGTGTTTTCATTAGTGTTATTTCCTCCCTCCAGGTTGAAGCATTTTAGAAAAATTTACAGATCTGACAAAAAACAGTAAACAAAATCAAACAAGGTAATGTTTACTTTTCTAGCAGTATGCTTTCATAGTCATTGTTGACATTTTTAGTTTTCTGACAATGGAGCTGTTTAGTAAGTCCCTTTAAATTCTTTCCCAGACAGAGCCAAAGTCATCTCCCAAGCAAATTCCTCCTTACAATTACAGTCTAATACTTCATATCTGGTATATCTTTCTCAGCACCTGATTATGAGCTAGGGAATTATGAACTAGTTATAGAATGTAATTTGTTTTTTAAAGTTCCTCTTTCTCATTCCCCATTTTTCAGTCGCCCTACGAATGTCTTTTATGAGCACCTGAAATCCCACCAGACCCCAGAGGACAAAGGCGGGTGCACAGGTGTTGCAAATACCCGGCCATGCCACTAACCAGTGACTTTGCAGGGAGCATTGTGAACATCAGCTTCGGATTTAAAGTATGCTGTTGCTCTGGCACTGCTGGGGGGGTGGCGTGGAGTGTGTGTTAAACAAATGAATATTATGTCATTTTTAATAAATATTCATTGGACTTGCATGGCTTCTCCTTGGTTGATGTATCAAGCCTTCACTAACTCCAAGATAGATAAGCTAATAGATACATCAGTTAAACCAAGTTGAGTTTAAGTGTCTTAGATTACAAAGCTTTGCATAAATTCTAATTCAAGCAGTTTCAGAAAAAAAGCATAACAAGTAGCCAATATGGGATAAAAATATTTTTATTTCAGTACCTTGTTCTTCATAACATCCTTCACAGATGCTATAATATTATTTTAGTCTTTAGAAAAATATCTAGCAACATGATTGTCTCACACCAGGCATAATCCCAGTGGAAATTAAAATTGCATGCATTTTCTCATCACTCTTTATTTAACAACTGGGAGAGTTTTAATATTTGAAACTCCGCAAGAAAATTGTCTTGAAACACAGAGATTCCTTTGGGGTAATTTCAATTCTGGTTTGTGTGAACTTTAGCTGAGCAGTTTTTTTACAGTAGTATGGATCTGTGGGTTGTATGATGGTTAACAGGACTTTCTATATGTGCTTCTCACCTAACATAGAAGGAAATGTAGCAAAGAACATTCTAATAAAATAATTTGAGTCAACTGGCCTCACTAATAAAGATGCCATGTTTCA